ACAAACGGAGGTTCTGGGGGGGGAACACACGCAGCCTAAATCACATACAAATGGATAGTTACTCGAACACGCTGCTACAGTGAAGTCAAGGTGCAATATACACCACATGATGAGCTACGCACAGACATGCGCACTGGGAACCCGCGGAGGGAGCTCTACGGTGGAAGGTCAGCGGCTCCTCTAGGTCACAGTTAAAGATGTTTTGGAAAGGCAGTATTGAATATTATCTGTCATTTTGTACTCTGGGGGAAATGGCGAGAAAAGTAACAGTTAAAAATCCTGCTTTGAAATTAATTACCAAGAAGTGGCTGCAAAAAAAAAAATACACCCACAGAAAAAGTAGTAAAAGAAGCATTGTGCTTTTTACTCCGCTATTATCAGACAGCTTTTGGTTAATTGTATATTAAGATGTTACACACAAAACATGGTGACCTTATAACATGCAGTGATTTCCATCATTTCGGTTTGTGATGCACAGACATGTTGGGCCCCTGGTCACCTGCCTATGAGCTGTTACCATGATGGTTTCATTCCACCTGGTGGGACCTCGTCTCAGTGCCAAGGGAAATGTACAGATATGGAATGCTTATGTGTACTTGGATGGCTGAATAACTAAGGAGGTCTGCTCTCGGTGAAAAGGAGTATAATTCACAAAACAGCATAGATCCAAGTCCAAAGACAAGGCTGTGTAGCGGAGCTGTGTGTCCTCTTCTTTCCTTCAGAATGATCTTGTGGCCCTTTGGATGGGCCCAACCACTATGTTGGGAAACCCGGGGTTAACTTTAGTTGTTTTCACATGACCCATAGTGCGAATAAAGCTGTGTTTAATCAAACTACCAACACTTGTTGTTTATCTGAGTGCTGACTGCACTGGGCATAAACAAGACTAGAGGCATCAGGGTATACATCACACAGAAGGAGGTAAGTGGGGCATCAGCAGAGGCCCTGCTGCAGCTTTTTACATCAAGGGCCCTGTAAAACATTAATACAACCACAAGAACACCATTAAAGAATGTATTAAAAATTACACAAGTCATTAAATATGGTATAATTGTAGTTTGCAAGGGTAGCTACTACTCATTACCATTATCTCATTATCCCATTTCATTATATCTCCCATTCTTTGGCACATTAAACTGTTTATTATTGACTGATATTACCAGTGTTGGAAACTCTGTACATTTATGGAAGCACTTTAGTTCAGTACAGTTTTGAGGTGTTTGTAGCCTATTTTACATGAATATTTACATTGTATGATTCTTTTCCACTTAATGTTAGAGTCATATATTGTGTTTTAATTATTCAGCATCATTTTGCATGAATGTATTAGATACTTTTACTTAGGTAATCACTGTGAGTATGTCTTCCACTATTGCTCATTATTATTCCAAAAAGTTTAGCAGTTTACAAAGTGAGATGTTGTAGTTACTCATAATGACCAGCAGAGGGAGTAAGATGCGCACAGCGCAGGACAACACTGACTGTATTTAAAACTGGTGGCACTTTTAAAATCATATGTGATTATGAGAGGATTTTTTTTGCAGTAAATTGAACCTTTGCTTTCCTGCATGTTATCCAGTAGGTTTTACAGTAACTGTATCCAGTAATTTGTATACACATTTTAGATTTAAACAACAGACATACGGTTATAAATAAATGGGGTCATGATTACCACAAAAGCTCTTTATTTCCAGTAGAATACTGTAGAAATATCCTGATCCAGTCTACCATAAAGTCATAAGATCTGAGAGCCATACAGGAACATGGGAATTACAACGATATATTTCGCTTCAGAGATCTGTTTTATCAAGCTTATTGGAGAATAACTATGTTCAAACGGCATTAGCTGCGGACATAAGGACAGGATAAACCCTTCAGCTGAGTCCTGAACGGCATGTCCCAAAGTGGCAAGACTCTGGTATGACTCCTTGCAGGCAGCAGAGTAAGGCCTGGGTTGTATTTTTGGAAGGGTTGGGGGGTGAGGGGGGTCGCCTTGTTAGGTCTGCTAAAATATTTCCAACAGCAGTGACTGTCAGGAGAAAGCTGGGTGGCAGGCACAGGGGGAGAGGGGCTTTTCTCTGTGGCCACCCGGAGAAGCCATGTAAGATCTCTGGCTTATCAAGACAGAAACAATTCCAATGAGTATCCGGTAATTGGCTCCAAACTTGTAACAGCATAACTGATTCAGCAAGGAAACTGTACAGTCGTACATGAGTGGAATCGACGAATCCAAGAAGACACTAGAATAATCTGGAGAAAAATAACTAATCTAAAGTGTCTGTAAACGTGACAAGCTTCATGGACACGCTCAGAAATCCCCATATCTGCAAAAGAAGAATCCCCCTAAAGTTCAGCACCAAGGATATCGCCAGGCAGTTTTGATGCTAGGTGAAGGTGAAGTCAGATTGTCAGCTTTACTTTCTGATCGGTGCGTTTTTGCGCGTCCATAAGGTATGAGTGGAGGTCGCTTTGAGTTTGACGACGGAGGAGCTTATTGCGGAGGCTGGGAGGGGGGCAAAGCTCATGGCCACGGCATCTGCACCGGACCCAAAGGCCAAGGCGAGTTCTCGGGGTCCTGGAACTACGGCTTCGAGGTGGTGGGGGTCTACACCTGGCCCAGTGGAAACACCTACGAGGGTTACTGGTCGCAGGGGAAGCGTCACGGTCTGGGAGTAGAAACCAAAGGACACTGGATTTACAAGGGGGAATGGACTCATGGCTTCAAAGGGAGATATGGCACCCGGATCAATGTTGACAGTGGAGCAAAGTATGAAGGAACATGGAATAATGGGCTTCAGGATGGATATGGAACAGAAACATATGCTGATGGAGGTGAGAGTCGCGTATAATGGAAGAAGTACTTGATCATTCATTTAAGTCAAAGCAGCAATACCACACTTTAAACATTGTATTAAAGTCATGCATTCTATTTTTCTCGACAAATACTTCAGCAAGCTCCCAAATGTTGCACTGATTAGCCTATACAGAATCGTCCTTTTAAGAGAAATTTGTTGCACACACTTTAAACATTGTATTAAAGTCATCCATTCAATTTTTCTCGACAAATACTTTAGCAAGCTCCCAAAAGTTGCACTGATTAGCCTATAGAGAATCGTCCTTTTAAGAAAAATGTGTTGCTTTAAGGTGTAAACATCATTTTCATGTTGCAGCTGATAAACGGGAGCAAACGTTACCTACTGCATATGCCAAGTGTAACCTATAAAATGCATCGTGATGTATTTGATAAACATATTTTTTGTAATTCTAATGACTTCAAACTGGGAATTTCCCCAGGGATCCCATAATAAAAGTAATAAGTCAGAATGTATTATATAAGCAAATTGTATGTATAAGCAACTAAAGTGACCAAATAAATGCAGAGGAGTAAAAAGTCAATTATTTGCCTCTGAAATGTATTAAAGTAGAACTATGAGGTGGTAGGAAATGGAAATGCACAAGTAAAGTATTCTCCATAAATATTTATAAGGCAAATCAAATGCATTATATGTAAAAATCATATAGTTTGTAAATTAATCTGTAAACCCAAGCTATTGGAGTATAAAGTAGCCTAACATAGAAATAGAAGTATATATTACTGAAATATAATTATTGAATCACAATGCAGCATTTAATGTTGTAACCATTGACATAGGACTAATTTAATATCTTTATATCCTGTTTCAAAGTTTAATTTACTGTAAAAAAAATACACCACATTTATTAATCATGTTTTATTTTAACCTGCAAAGTAACTTGAATAAATGTAGTGGTCAAAAAAGTGCAATATTTTCTAAGAAATGTAATGAAGCAGAGTATAAGGCACAGCGGACCATACTCAACTAAAGCAGTGGCCTACCTCAGAATCGTATTTAAATTGAGTAAGTTGAGAAAAAAGCTAGTTTAGATATTATAGGAAATGATCTCTAAATCAAGCAACAGTAAAGGTAAGGTAAAGTCAAGTCAGATTTTATTTTCATAGGGCACAAGTACAATTTTACCTTAAATAAAATGGAAGAAACCTCAGGAAGCTGAGGAGAGATCCCTCTTCCAGGACAGACATGCAATAAGTGTGATATGTACAGATTGGAGCAGATTACTGTTGATTGTAAAACATATGTGAAGAATATGATCCAGGAGGGTGTTGAGCAACTTCCATGTGCTGCCAAACAGACCTGAACCACACAGCGTCCTCTCTACTATGAAGCCCTGGTAGGAGGACAGGCTAGGCAAACACACACGAGGCAAAGCACAAGTACGCCCTTCACACATCTGGAGAATGAAACAAGCACAAAGAAGGAGACAGAGACAAGGGTAACAAGTGTACTGTAGGTGATGCAAAGACAAAGATGAGCCTTATGGTCTTTTATGATGAGTGGGTATAACCAGAAGACACTGTCTCTCTGCTGCTGCCAGTGAAGAGGTGCTTACAGCTTGTTGGAAATAAACCTCAAAGGAGTGTTTCCATTTTGGTAAACTACACTATCACCAGTAGTGGTTAATTATGTAGGAGTAGTAATAGGCCCACTGATTCATAAAAATACTCTATTAGAAGTACAAGTATGAATATGTGATTTTTTTTTTCACGTGAAACTGTACAGTGCATGAGCAACATGTGCTTAATATACCAAAAGTAAAACTACTCATGATGCAGCAGCACATTTTTAAGCTCATGTTCTGATCACTGAGGGGGTGTACCTGGTGTATCACCGTTGACCCCTCTGGAGACACCGTGGGCTCATCAATGAACCATCAAAGAAGTAGGGTGCCCACCTGATGACTCCAATGATATTCCTACTACCCTCCATTTCACCACTCTAATCCCAGTACCAGTATCAAGAACATTATTACAGGGACTGAAAAATTCAATTCTATTAGGTCCACTGTAAAACCTGAATCTGCTAAATGACTATAGCTCTCAAATAAATGTAGTGGAGTACAATGTACATTATCTCCTATGGTGCCCCCAAGGGGTGGCCGGGGGGCGGTGGGGGCTATGGCCACCATCCTAAAATTATTGGCCTTCTTATTGGCCCCCTGACAAGTGACAGACCCCAGTTATTTTAATTCTTTGCAAAGCAAGTCCTTAAAAATCTTATGTCCATTTAAGACTGAGTTGAATTTTGAAGGGAACATTCTCAAGAAAACAGGTTGTTTTTTTTTTAAATAAAACTACTGAAGTGGAACACCAAGTTAATAAATTATTGAAATTATAAAAATAATTAAGTGTGAAATCTAATGTGTGTTATTGTAATTGCATCAGAACTTTAGGTCAGATATTTTTGCATCCATAATTCTTTATTGTTATGATGAGGGAACCAAGTGTAAGCAGAAAGGCTCAATAGTCAGACCCAGGCAGATGTATTCAAACAAGAACTTTATTTATGAAGGGCTTCACTAGAGGTCGATGCCCCAGTCAGGGATCAGACAAGAACCCCCAGGGATCCAGATATCAGAGCTGGTCAGCAGGTGATAAGGCCATGAGCCGGAGAGACAGGGTGTCGAGCTGATCCTGAGATGTGGGGTGAGGGCTGGCTGAGGGCAGGCGCAGGAGTGGTTAACAGGTCCAGCGAATCTCAGGTGAGGCTGGTGGACCAGTGGTATCATCATCGGGGAAAGCAGGTAGCTGGGCTGTTGCAGGCTAGGGAGCTGACAGGGTGAGTTTGGCCACCGGACTAGGGGTAGCTGGGTTGGCATAGAGGTAGCAGGTGAATAGTGTAGGTGTTGGTTCAGAAGCAGCCCAGGAACAGCAAGGAGGAACAGGTGAGTTGGCTACAGGATTGGGAGGGTCTCGACCGAGTAATGGCACCATCAGGAGCAAACCAGGCAGGAACGAGGCACTGAGGAGAGTAGCACACACAGGAACAAAGGAGACTCACACAGTACTGTGGTGATATCAGGAGCAAACCAGGCTGTAGTGAGGGAACACGCAGGTTAACAGAGCTAACACCAAACCAGAGATGATAACACAAGCCAGTAGGTTAAACTGAACAGAGTAGCATGAATAGAGTAATGGACCAGCAAGTGGCTGAGAGAAAGGAGGTGGTATATGTAACTGAAGACCAGGAGATGATTGGCAACAGGTGAAAACAATGAACGCTGATTGGAACCGTGGTAAAACTGGGGCAGGAGAAGTGGAGCAGAACAGGAGGAAAAACAAAATAGAAGAGCAAGAACAGGAAGTCCAAATCATAACATTAATTTTATTCTATAAAATACAGATAGAAAATTCAAGCTGCTTGTAGAATTTTTAGTCACCTAGAGTTTTGACATTTAAATACAATTTCAGTTCAAGGCTATGATTTTAAAAATAGAAGATAGTAGCAAAAATGATGAAATATGATGTACTGGACATAAATATTGTTAGCTAATATTTGGTGTTTATGTTTAAGCAGCCCACACACTTAATGTATTGGTGATGATGCATTTGAATAGGAATAATAATTAATGATTCCTTGGCTGATCTCATGTGAATATCATAGTTTCATATTCACATGAGTTCAGCCAAGGATTTAAACAGTACACCATTTATTTTACACAATAATATAGTATCATATAGTATAGTAATGTAGTATTTTTACCCTTCTGTTAATTTGCATAGCCTGAAACCCCTCTATGCTGTACAGCCATTGTAGTGTGCCACCCCAAGGTTCCTACTGGCTCTATCTGACCCACCCCCCCACTAAATATTTTCTATAGCTGCCACTGAATATCACCTTTTGAAATTTAGTGAATAAGAAGCACAGAGTAAACTCAAATAGTGTACAAGTAGTGCATGTTAAAATTGTATCATACTTGAGTGAATGTGCTTTCTTCCCACTACTGACCATCAAGTACTTGTTGTCAATAGGCCCGAGTCCTCCAACGGAGTGGTTAGTCGTGTTAAAGAATCCTGGACATTCTGGTAGTACCTGGATATTGCTCAGTTCATTCACATATATAAGTTAGACAAAAAAAATATATATATATAGCTTGTGTGATAGCAGTGTTTCCCTCCTTAACAGCTGACTCATTAGTTTTAGGTCCAGTCTGGTGGAAGTTGCAGTGGGGGATGTGACACCACCAGATGCCATCATGTAATAATAGCCCCCAAGCCTCATGCCTTTCTGGCCTCACAGGCTGAGGCCTAGCTGGTGTAATGTTTACCATGCTCACCACCTTATTTTAGCATGCTAACATTTGGGGATGTCATTAGTTTTGCAGGTATTTGGTCATAAACCAACACTGTGAATAATTTAAACCTGATGCTGAATGAAAGATTAAGGGATCACCTACATAATTTTTATTCATCCTTTGATTGTCATGAATATTTGTAAAATAAATAAATAAATAAATAAAAAGCAATCCAGTCAGTCGTTAAGACATTTCTCTCAGAACTACAGATGTCAAACTCATGGTGACTTTCAGAGAAAAATCAGGTTCCACAGTCAAGTTAGAGTTGTCCTCTGGAAACCAGGAATGTTTGTACCAAATTTCATGACAATTCACTGTAAAGTTGTTGAGCTATTTCATTCCGGGGTATTAAAACAACAGACGCTGACATTGCCATAGAGTTGTGCGTCTTATGTTTAATCTGTGGTTCAAAGTGTTGACTCCCTGTTTTCTGATGTTTGCAGGTACTTTCCAGGGTCAGTTCACTGGCGGGATGCGGCACGGCTATGGTGTTCGTCAGAGCGTCCCCTATGGCATGGCAGCAGTTGTCCGCTCCCCCCTACGTACCTCTTTGACCTCCCTGCGCAGCGAGCACAGCAACGGCACTGTCTTGCAGCAAGACATCCCCATCATCACCACTACCAACACCTCAGGTGAGGAGACGCGCGTTGCCACCCCTACCCAGCTGGGACCATCCCGTGGAGGCTTCGCACTCAGCCTCCAGGTGGACCCAGAGGCAGTGAAAACCAAGAAGAAGGGCCTGTTCAGTAGGAGCTCCCTGCTGGCCAAACTGAAGAAGTCAGACTCAAGCACCTCACTGTCCAGCCAAAAGAGCAAGATCAGCTTCCTCAGACCAGAATCGGCTCTCAGCTCCAATGCCAGCGACACCAACTCCACCATCAGCCTTGGGGACGAGAGCCTAGCCGGAGCTGAGGATTTCCCCCCAGTGGAGGCTGATATTGATGCCACCACTACAGAAGTCTACATGGGCGAGTGGAAGAACGACAAGCGCTCAGGATATGGAATAAGCGAAAGGTCCAGTGGACTGAAGTATGAAGGGGAGTGGCTGAACAACCAGAGACATGGCTACGGCTGCACCACCTTTGCAGAGGGAGGGAAGGAAGAGGGCAAGTACATGAACAACATGCTGGTGAAGGCCATGAAGAAGAGGGTGATCCAGCTGAAGGGAACAAAGATCAAGCAGAAGGTGGAGCGGGCGGTGGAGGGAGCTCAGAGGGCTGCAGCTATCGCCAAGCAGAAGGCAGAAATTGCTGCCTCGAGGTAAGAGGAGACGAGTGTAGAGATGATTTTCCATACTTCTGTTTCGCCTTGTCTAGGGGAGACATATTACACAGGCAGACTGTTTCTTATGAGGTCTACTCTAGCCCCAGTCTGTACTTCTTATTTTTTAACATTACAGTTGAATCACTACGTTTTACAGAAAAATACTGTATGTGCCCAGTGCTCTCTAAAAATCCCATTATTTAACTACATGTACTGCTGTTCTGAAGGTATTTCCAGAATCTTCAAATGCTCTTCTAACCATCTGGGTGAAAAATGTGCTGCTCCGTGACAAAAGTTGTGCCTCTGTTTCCTAATTCATACAACGATGGTAGTCGGAAATGATAAACGTCTGTGCTCAATTTGTACAGCATGAAACAAAATGTTTGTTTACTCATTTTCTATTTGTCTATATTGAGGTTATTTTCATACAAGAAAGAAAGTACTGCATCTGCTCATGTCAGCATTTATCGTCTCATTTTTCAGTCAAATACATTTGGGGAGATAAAATCCAGTGAGCAAACATATTGTTTTTCCTTCGCTGAATTTGTTGCCCCTCATCTGGCCTATGGGATGTGCACAGAGCTATCTCTATGTATGTTGTTGTAGAAAAAAAATCAAAAAATGTGTTTTTTTTCTTGCAAAATGAGCAAAGAGATAAAAACCGTCTGCCTGGTGACATAATGCAGTAGGAACTAGTTTTGCACCACTCAAGAAAACTATTTGGAAAGATTTTACTAGTTGACACTGTTATGTCACAACTTTATTTTGTGCTGGCAGTGTATATGATAGTTCAACAACTAAGACTGGACTAACCTTTAAAGATGCTCTGCCCCAAGTTTCAGTTTGACAGCATGCTAGCTGATTTGGTTCAGTGACCTTTTGAGTCCATCTTAGCAGAGGGTTAATTGACATGGAAGTGAAATGTTTTTTTAGCTTGTCTAGCACATGAAGACAAGAATGCAACAAAATCTTACAGTATGTCACTGAAAAATAAACAGAAGAACTCTGGGCTCATACCAATAAAACCAGACAAACAAATGAACAGACATGAAAGTGCAAATAAATGCAGCATAAACTACATCATAAATGGAGAAGCACTTTCACAATTCAAATGGTAACAATATTTACTTCCTATTAAGTGCTAACACCAGCATGCTAACATATTCACAGTGACAGTAACATGCGATATTTAGCTTATTTAACATTTTAATTTAGTGCGTTTGCATGCTAGCACTAAAACCTTTATGTGCAGATTCCACCACACTCAGGAAGAATTGATGCGTTAGTAAATTCTTGCTATTGAGGCAGCAGATGGGAATGTCTGTGATTTTGTAGGCAGCTGGTAATAAACCAAAGTAGTGGTCTAATTAAAATTTTGACCTGTGATAGGGTTACGGAAAAATTCAAAGAAGCCTTAAAGTCATTAGAAAGTTCTAAAGTCATTATAAAACAAAAGTTTGTGCAAAGTTCATGGAAATTCAGCCAACTGTTGTTGAGGCATTTCAGTCTGAACTAAAGCAGTCGTCCAATAGACTGCCATCCAACTCTGCACTCATGGGTAAAAAAACAATAAACAACACTTCACAGAAATAGTAATTGTCATTCCTTGCAATCCCAGATTCACAAAAGTCAGTCATTGATGTTAAACATTCACTGAAATAAAACTGTTTCATCAACATTTTCTGTGTCCAGATTTCTAACCAGTGACCATACTGACCACAGAAACTAATGGCATATTTGGTTGAAGGCATGAGGCTGGGTTATGTTATGTAAGTTTAGTTTTAAAGAGTCTTGTTTCACGCAAAAATAAAGGAATAGTTTAACCTTTTGGGAAATTTCTTTCTTGCTAAGAGGAGATAAATAACACTCCTGTGTTTCTGAAAAAGGACTTAACAGCTTCTTTGTTTTATTCTCTGGCAAACCAAAGGCTACAGAACTTCTCAGGAAGAACAGAGCAGTGTTTCAGCAAGGTATAAGGGCACTAACACTTTTAGTTACATCTGTATAACATGTTTATCACTGAGCTTTAGATGTGGTTGCTTTTGAACAAAGGCAGGCTATCTGTTTCCCCCTATTTCCAGTCTTGTGCTAAGCTAGCTTCATGTTTAGCAGAGAGAGTATTATCAGTCCTCTCATCAAACACCTAACAAGTGTCAAACTGTGAAACTATTACTAACTTAGTGAGTGACCAGTTCTATGATTATGTATCAGTATGGCATGTTTCACTGCTGATCATGATTAATCACTCTATTATCTGTCTGACAAAGAAAGTGCATATGAGAATATTTAAACCTCTTACAAATCACAGCGTATTGTGAAATCACTTCATATGAATTCAGTTGGACTGTAATTAATCATGTTTTTCTCCTCTAGCAGTGTCTTCAGTTTGTCTGTGACCGTACAAGGCAAGTGGTGTTTTTGTCCACCGCTGCCTGTTTACAGCAGTGGGACATGCACTGATGGACTGCAGATCCCTGTCCCAGCAGAATGAAATCTAAATATTGTATTCAAAGGATAAGCAGTATATGAGAGTTATGGACCGGTGCTCACTGTATCAGTGCTTTAGGCTCACCTAGAGCCACCTGTGCAGAGCTGAGGATGGACCCAAACACTTGGCAGCCTATTTATATAAGACTGCTTTCAAAAACACCACGGTGGCCTTTACTTCGTCCAAACATGACCTCTTAGAAAAGTAACTCAGCATTTACTCAGGTACTGAATTTAAGTACATATTTGGGTACATACACACAGCCACATACACAAGAGGATCAAAATATAGATATACCTCTAAATATAATGTAGTCCAGTACAACACCACCTTTAAGTATGACCTCAATAATAAATATATAATCGAATTTATACATTTATGACAATTTCACCAAAAAATGAAACAGTTTGAGCTTCATAAACACATGTTAAGGTGGAAGTGCTGCACTGAAGTGCATACAATTTGTACAGGTGTGACTATTAATGTGGCCAGACAGTTTATATTAAACCAGTCTTTGGCTTTCCCACCTAAACCTTTCACATGGTTTCATTCAAGTAGCTGCATTCATTTAAAGTAACTCTAAGTTATCCAGTGTTTCACATAAATGAACCCACATTTGTTTAGCAAAACTTGGTGTTCTTTCTTCTTTCCTCTCCTATTAATCATCTCATGACCTCTCAGAATTATCTGGTGACCCTCAGGAGGGACCTGGGTGGATTAGTAAAGTATGTCTTATACAACGATGCATCTGCATTGGCAATCTAAAGTTATTTTAATAATATGTCAGTTCCAGGGACCATTTTCTGCTTAAAAAATGTTATTGGTAATACTTCAGTATTTTTACTTAAGTCAGATTTTGAATTAGGGACATTTACTTGTGATGGAGTATTTTTGGTACATCTACTGAATTATATACTTCCAGCACTGTGGAAGACAAACTAAACAACAGTGTTGTCCTGAAAGTAAGATCCATCATTATATAAGCAGTGGAGACATGACACATCTGTTCCTGGCAGTGGTTCCTTCACTCCATAACCCTTTGGCAGCGAGGCTGAGGGTTAAAAATACATGTACAACCGATGCACTGCATACGATGCCAGACCTGGCCTCTTCAAGTCTAATTGGCTGAGTGTTCATTGGCATTCAGACACTGTGCACATTGTTCTGTTGTGTGGTCTGTCAGCCGGGCGTCTGCAGGCAGACCTGTGCGGCAGGACACTGTGTAAATGACGCACGCACTAGGGCCCCATGGTCACAGAGGAGCCCTGACTAAATATGGACAGGTGCACTCTTGCTGTATCACAATCACAAGGGAATGCAACAGCTGATTATCCCCCCTCCTTCTGCTTTCAACCCCCATCTTTCCTGACACAGACACATACTCAGACTGTTTTCTTATGCTGAAATGGTCTCTTTCCTTTTGTCTGCACAGTTAATTCACTCACTCCTGTAGTGTTTTAGCTCATCAAAAGGTTGTCCAGTAGTATACAACCTGACAACAGCAGTCCTCTTGTTGGCTTTGTCCGTCACCCACTCAAAGCTTTAGCTGCCCTGTTAGCTAGCAGCCGGTTCATCTTGCATCAGCAGTGGTGTCAAATGGTTCCATGGATATAAATATGACAACTCATAAGCAAGTGCTTGGGTATAAAGGCTTAGCGTATATATGTACAACACCTTGCTTTAGATCAGCAGCTTGGATTACGTACTGTACTGCTGATATGAGCATTTTGTGTTGTGAGCGTGTTGTGTTGCTAATAAACAAAGTTCAGGTCTGACCTCAGCTCAGGACCATTTAGGCTCTGTTTTTATAAGTTACTTATTTAATGAAAAATAATGCTAGACAAGAATAAAAGCAACTGGTTAGTAATTAGAAAAACTGATGAGATCTCAACAGCTATAGCTGCAACCTTTTAGCGGTGCTACAGTACCGAGGTTGCAGCTAGTGCCTAGTGTATATGTATTTTGGTGCAGCAATTGAAGCATTCAGTTATCTTTTTATGCAAACTAAATCACTCTTTCATACTCCCTCTGTCTTTGCCTCTATCGCGCTCTCACACATACATACATACATGCTCAGGCACAGTTGGATAGAACCCTCCACAAAGATCTAGTGGCACATGCCAGAGTGACAGAATATCTCTTGCCATCAGCAAGCTGCAGGACAACTGTAGTGTGATGAAAAACAGATGGTTACAAACAGAGGAAGAGTAGGAGCTGTGAGGAGGAAGGCTCATACAGTTTTCTGTATACATATAGACCAGAGTGTGCATTACAGAAGGTTTTATGGTATAGATTATGCAGCTTTGGGTTTTGAAGGACTTTGCTGCAGCTGGCATCTCATCACTCCTCAGAGTACAGCGCATCTCTTCTTAAGGCAGCACTAAAAGCATAGCAGAGTATTTAGGTCACAGTGTCAAATGTCATGTTTGGTTGTGGAGAAACACCTAGAGACCAGAACAGACTGCAGCAGTTACACAACTTCTTGTGCAGTTATTTTCACTGAATCCGTCTGTTCTGTCATGAATGATCACACTGATACAACATGTCATCTGCAGAAAACCTCAATTCATAATTTATCCTCATTGCAGTAATCCAAATATTTTCAGTTGGAAATCATTTAACATTAGCAGACTAAAAGCTCCGATGATCCTTAAAACTACTTGAACTCCACTGAAATATATTTTCAGTAACCTCCTTCCATACACATGAAACCTACTCTCATCTTCTCTTATTGTAGTTTTTTTTATTTGTAATGTAATTACTATCTTCAAATGTACCATTTTAAATACATACTTCGTTTACTCCCTAACTTAATTATTTGTTTATTCATTTAATCTTTTCATTATTTCCTGTATTTCTGGCAGTTTTCTCGGTAGCGTTGTAATGAAATAAAATGAAGTCATGACCAAGGATGACTGTTTTAGCTTTTGGGTTCAGTAAAGAAGATGGCAGTTACACCATAGTGTATGGATAAATATGACTTCTGTGAAATAACATTGCTGGAATAATATTTTTAGAAATCCCCAAAGGTTGAACAGTGCTGAACAATGTGAACAACTTTCAGTCAAAACAATCCTCTAGCCACTTGTAGCACCATGACGTATCATTATATTACTATCACTTTACAAACATACAGTATAGGGAAGCATGCTGAGTATTCAGCTACTGTAATTCCTGGTGGCAGTTTTTAATTTGATTTGATTTGATTTTTGCTACTTCATTTACTAACACAGCTTTTAATATATTTCCATAACTTGACGGGTTATTTAAGGAATAACATTATTTTCCCTTTGCAGTGCAATGCAGGGGTGCATTCCCACACCCACTGTTATTTAGTTATTTTATTCAGTACATTGTTTGGTAACAATCAGAGGTCACTGACGAAGTGTGCACGTATGACCTTATTCACAACTACTCAGAGCCCACAGGGGACAGAAGCTTGTTTTGTCCAACCAACTGTTCAGACCTCAGGTCACTAAAAGCAGAATATCCCCACATTTGACAAGCTGGAACCATGAAATGTTACTTAAAAATATCTACTTAAACAACTACTAAATTAGCTTCCCAATTAACTGTTTCACCTAACTGTATTTACTGTTTCAGAATTCATCTAAAATCTAAAACAAAGCATGACATTTTATATGCTTTTTGTGTTTTGAATGCAAACATGTAATGTAGGCAACAGTACAACATTTATCTCTGAACTGTAGAAGTATAAAGTATCATAAAACTAAAATACTCAAGTAAAGTATAGTGTTGCATGAGTACTTTCTGCTGCTACTTGATATCAGCAAAATAATATGCAAGAATTTTACTGACTGTGGGGCACTTCTATTGTGTTGTAGTACTACTTTCACCCAAAGTATTGATCTCTGTTCTTCCACTGTTCACTGTACTGAATCCTTGAATATAATACCCCCCATAAATAAATAAACTAAACTAAACTAAACTAAATAAAATGTGTAAGCACTGTTAATTTGAAGTATTTTCAATCAAATAATCAATCAATCAAAATGTACTTACAGAGCACATTTCAAACAACAGTCAAACTGAGCAAAGTGCTGAACAAAGCATACAGACGAACAGTATTTTATACTATTGGGCAGTTTAATCTAAAACAGCAATTCATATTTGATAAAGTGATCATATGTTTTTAAAGTATGCCAGGAAAAAATAAATATTTGTCACACATTGTTTAAAGATTTACAGATGAAAGATTAAAAACTCTAAGAAAGGGAGCTTGCGTGTCTCTGACCAGATAACTCAGTGTTAGAGGATTGCTTGGAAATTGCTAAGATGCTTGCATGTTTGATACTCACCAGGCTCAGAGAATTCTGAAGTCTAGCCCTGAAAGTGAAGAGTGAACAGTGCTCAGAAGAAGTTCCCACATGGCTGATGCAGGAGTCTCTAGTTATTCCAGTGGGAAGCACCTTCCCTGCTGAGTCTTCAAGTGGCCCACGGAGCTATTTTCAGTTCAGTGTAAAGTTACAGAATGTCGGGATCCACAGAGTAATCACAATCAGTCATTCTATCAGTTAATGAGGGACAAACAGCTCCATTGAACCATCAGCATTAATCTGCCAGGATTTTAGGCATGTGAGCGGTGTGTGTCTCTAGGGATGGTCAAGTTGGCGTGTTGGTCAGTGACTCAATCAGTGCCATGGAACTTTGTCCAGACATCTGCAGTGCTCAGTAGACTAAGCCTACTGACTCTGGTGACCTTTTCTCCAGCGCCACCAACAAACCACTTGTTTTCAATTTTCCTGTTACATATTTGACACTGCAACACAATATGTTTAGTGTCAGTTAACAAATGGTACTAAACCATCTTAGGTAACAAGAATAATAAGTGTCCTTCACGCTTGAGAAACACAGAAGGTTAACAATTAGAGTAAATGTGTTATGGGTAAATCCTTGAGTATGGCTAAAAACTGATTTTAGAAAAGCACTTCCTGCTGTACTGTTGTAGTGATTCTCTCTCTTGTCACCCACTCTCTGTCTCTGTCTCCCTGTCAAATAGAAATATGTTTGATGATGGATCCCTGAGTAACTTGCTGGCCACAACTCATTGTCTTGATGTGGACAATAAAAGCATAATTTATTTCTTTACCTTCCCAACAGCAAAAAATGTCACCTCCTTTCTCTGTAGCTAATAATAATAATACTAATGATCCATAGGACACCAGCTCTGGCCTTCATTTTGACATGAGTGAATCCTATAAACAGTGTTGCGGTACAGCATAAGCAACCAACTGTAGGAGTTCATAGTCAAGGTCCATACTGTGTTTCATAGGGCCTTACAACCTAATTAGGTATCACATAATGATTAATTCCATACTGTGGAAGAAAAAATACACAACTCCATGAAAATAGCACAATCTCTTCATGGCATGCATTGTTAACAATCCTTCATTATACAGAGGCTTGTTGAGCAACCTGATGACTGAGAGGATAAATGAGTTGTGATGAATCTGGAGAGTATTTTTATAATTGAGCAATTAAACAATTGGCTATAAACTGTTATTTTAGAAAAATCACAAAATAGCAGCAATAACTGTAATCATGTTCCACTGGCAGCAGAATTACAGCTGCTACTAAACTATTATTACTGTCCAACAAATGTATAGAGTTTTGAGGAGTCTGTGGAGTTTTGGAAACAAAGGAGACGATCTCTCCTCTACCAAAGTGTCAACATCTCTCATTTCTGTTGCTCAGGGTACATTCCTGTCAGGTATTTGGAAAGTTGCTTATCTGCCTTCTTGCCAAACAGAGTGATATCACTCACATGACTATGCTGTGTATTTTTACAAGGAGTGGACCTATTTCTTTGATGATGGGGTTCTCTAAGGATTAAACAAATAAGATACAGACAGGTGACATATAAAAAAAAATGAATATAGTCTCTGAGTCAGGTGTTAGGCCTCCACATGCCACCAGAACAGCTTCAGTGCACCTTGGCACTGACTCTTCAAGTCTCTGAGCTCTACTGGGGGGGATGGACACTGTCCTTCCAACAGATAATCTTTCATATGGTGTTTGATGATGGTAGTTGAGACGCTGTCTAACACGTCACTCCAACATCTCCCATAGCTGTTCAGCTGGGTTGAGACCTGGTGACTGTGAAGGCCACAGCACATGATTCACTTCAGTTTCATGCTCATCAAACCATTCAGTGACCCCTTGTGTCCTATGGATGGGGCACTGACATCATAGAAGAGACCACTCACTTATTCAGGTTTATTTAATTTGTCGCCTGTTTGTATAACATTAATCACTGAGCTGTAGGTGTAAGTAGTTGCACTTTGTCACCTTTAGACAGACCTCTGTCACCTGTTTACCCCCTGTTTCAAGTCATTATGCTAAGCTAACCTAACCATCTTCTAGCTGAAATCTCATATTTAAAGCAATAGTTTGACATGTTTGAAAGTGTTCTTATTAAAAATATGCTTCTGTCTAAACGTATGGCAGATTAGATTATGTTCAAATGGGGCTAGGCTACCTGTTGCCCCAGTTTTCAGTAGCTAAGCTAACCATCGCCTGACTAGCTTCCTGTTGAATGAACTGTACACATGAGACAGTGGTGTTGATCTTCTCACATACACTGACAAATATGTAACTATGTACAGTGTGTGATACTAACACAAGTGTTGTTTTCAATTCATGAATGAATTGCCACCATTTTTATAACTGATTATAAGTCATGCCACAGTCAGAAGAAAATAAAACAGTTAGCTAGTACCCGTGATTTGTGACTTGTGTTGTGTCTGTCCCCTGCAGGACAGCCCATGCAAAGGCCAAATCAGATGCAGCTGAACAGGCTGCTCAGGCCTCCAACAGTGAGTCCAGTATTGCCAGGCTGGTGGCCAAAGAGCTCTCCCCTTCCTTCTACCAGCCAGGTCAGTGGACATCAACATTCATTTGTGGATGGATAAAGACAGGGGAAAAGTGCACACATCCTGTTTCCAAAAACGTTGGGACCCTGTGTACAATAAATAAAATAAAATCTGGATGCAGTGATTTGCAAATCCTTTACTTAATACAACTGAAAATAGTACAGACAATATGTGTTTTTTTGTTTTTTTTGACAAATATATGCTCATTTTAAATTTGATGCCAGCAACATGTTTCCAAAAAGTTAGGACAGGGACATTTCTCGCTGTGCTGCATCGTCTCTCCTTTTAACAACATTGTGCAAGTGTTCAGGAACCGAGGAGACCAGTTGTTTTAGTTTTAAATGAAAATTCTTGCTTGATAGTTTTGACTCATCACTCCACAGGCCACCCTTCCCCTTTGCCTCAGTCCATCTTAAATGAATCCAAGCGCAGAGAAGATGGTGGTGTTTCTAGATTATGTTTTTTATTTCCATGGCAGAGGTTTAATTTGCCTTTGTGGATGCAGTGAGGAACTGTGTTCATTGGCAGTGGGTTTCAGAGGTGTCCCTGAGCCCATGTGGTGATTTCCACTACAGAACTGTATGTGTTTTAATGCAGTGTCACCTGAAGGCCTGATATTATGGTAATCCTGTATTGGTTTTCCCCTGTAAATTGGTTTTATACTTTGTCCTTGATCATTCCTTCAGCTTGTGCTAGAAGTTCCTTTGATGGAAGCTTATCACAAGGGCAGTCACATTTGAATGTCTAAAAAAAGGGGACATCTTACTTAGCCGAAGGGATCATATCAGTTTCACTTTCTGTCGACACACACTTACACATTCCCAGAAAAGCCTAGCAACCTTTGGGGGCCAGTTTCATTTTTCTCCTGCTTTGTCCCTCAGCAGAGAGCTTCAAGCAGTCAGCTGCAGACAAAAAGTCATCCATCCAGCTTTTGGAGTGGCTGCCCAAATTATCTCTGACTAATGGACGAGGCCTGACTGCGTCCTGCTATGTATTCTTCATTGAAAGACCTCTCGACAAGGAGATACTGTAACAGTACAGACGCACAGTGTCAACATGCACACCATGTAGTTTAACTGTGAAAAACGAAAGTTTAGCTTTGAAAGTTAAAGAAATAATCTGGTAATATTCAGTATTTTTTTTACGGTAAACAATTTTCATAAGAACATTCAAACCAACAGTGCACTGACTCTACTGAGAAATATTAACCCTGGCCACTGGTAAACAGAGCTTATTTCTCTGGGCCATAGGACTCCTCTGTTGACCCGATACTAACCACACCAGTGATGCACCTGGTTGCACTTGATGAAACATTTATTACACTACATTACAACAACCAGTGGTGCCCTGTTTGTTTTGATTTAATCCCACATGCTCCGTCCTGCTGCTGATAACACTTTCCAAATTTGTATTCATCCACAGATGAAAATAATCCCATGCAAATACTCCTCTTTGAGTAACATTTGTTGAAAACTACTCTGACCATGGGTTTAAAGAAATTATTTAGGCTTTTTATGCCTCCACACTGGTGCCAGCCTAGCTGGAGCCATGTTTTCTAGTTGTTTGTCCATCTGTCCCATTTTCATGACCATGATAGCTCAGGGAATTTATTAAAATTTGGAACAAACGTCCACTTGGATTCATGGATGAACTGATTAGATTTTGGTGGTCCAAGGTCAAGGTCACTGTGACCCCACATCCATCCCATTCTCTTGGATGCAATATTTCTGGAACATTTTGAGGAAATGTCTTCAAGTTAAATATACTTCATATTTTTATTAAACGTCTTCACTACATAAATAATATGAGCCTGGATAGACATGATTGTAATCTGCAACTTGAATGGTTGGCAGAGGCTGTAATTCTGGGTCTTTCATGGAATTTGTCCAGAATTTAAAAAAAAAAGTTTTTAAAAAGTACATTACTTCTGTTACTTTCTCATTTTAAAACCTTCTGGCTTATTTTGATATAAACATTTGAACTTTTTTCATTTTGTCTAATCAAATGTTTTTCTTTTCCATGTATTTTACACTTTTTTTCTATATGAAATGAGATCAAAACAATCAACTTGTGAAAGAAAATGTGCATTGAACTTGAGGACTGCTAATAAGAGTACCTGTACCTCTAGCAGCCTCCGTAGCTGCTACTTCTGGTCACAGGAATTATAGAGAGGATGACACGATTATAAAGTTGATCTCTGAGAAATAAGGTCTCCCCACCTGTAGCTGTTGCCTAAGACTGTATTAAAATTGAAGGAGAATAGTTTGGAGAAAGCAGGAAGTCTGTTTGTAAAATGACTTTTACTACTTATTATTATTATCTGGTAGTAAAAGAAAGAAGTGCGCTATGATAACTATGCAGACCAGGAAACAGTGGAACCAAATGTGAATGTGCCATTTTAACAAATGTTTAAAACATCATAAACTCTCCAAAGAATAGTGCTTATTATGGCTCTGAGTATTAAATATATTGTTACCCAACGTCGAGTGAGAAAAACACTAATGCACTGACTGAACTGGTCATAGGTCCTGAGTATCTGAAGAAGAAAATGTTACAGGAGGCCATGGAGGGCAGTGTCATGCATGAGCCGGCGCCGGCTGAGGAGCAGACCCTACCCACGCCACCTGAAAGCCCACTTACGAATGAACTGGACAGCCTCGTGCCTGGCCCATCCCCAGGCCGCACCCCCTCCCCAACCTCGGGAATCACCAGCAAAGAAGAGCCCAAACTGCCCAGTCCAGGAAGCTGGAATGAAGACAAAACCAGTAAAGGTGGTGGTGATAATGATAAGAGTAAACCCAACAGCAGGCCCAGCAGTTACCCCACTACCCCTTCAGCCCCCATTTATGCTCCCATTTCAGCTGCACCTGAAGACGGAGGGGCCCCCAGCAGTCGCGGTCCCTCTCGTAGCCCCAGCCGTCAGAGCAGCAAGAATGAGCAGGGCTCTGACATGGAGATTAAGCCCCTGCAGAAGTTTGACTCTAAGGCAAAAGCTCCAAATGTCACTCCTGCCACTGCCCCCAATGTAAGGAATAGCCTCATCTCTTCAGATGAAGAGGAAGCACCACACCCCACCTCTAAAGTGCCCTCCAAAGCTGTCACCCCTGAGCCTAAACCTGCTGAGCTCAAAACTGAAAGAGCTCTGTCAGCCCACGAACAAGCGCTGTCCGTCTCAGAGAAGGAGGTAAGCAGGCCACCCATTAAAGCTGAGACAAAGCCATTACTAAAACGACAACCAAGCCCAGCTCCTTCCCCAAAACCTGCACCCAGTCTCGAACCTAAAACAGTGCCAAAGCAAGTGGAAGCCAAAGGTGTTGTTGCCAAACCAGCCCTGAAGGCGGATCCCAGAGCAGAAGCCCGAATGAAAGCCGTGCTGTCGAAGCCGAGTAATGGTGTGACTGCAGAGTCTTGGGAGCTGGAGGTAACACAGTAGATACATATATTGTATTGTACATATTGTAAATACACAGCATGGCTATAGAAATGGCAATGTCAGGCCACGTCTTTGGTCCACTCTGAAATATTTCAATAACCACTGGACATGCTATAATGACATTTTGTACTGATATTCAGGCTTCCCAGTAGATGATGTTTTTGTTGATCCCCTGACCATAGTGTACCATCAGGTCAACATTTTAATTTGTCCAGTACTTGGTTTACATAAGAATGTCTTCTCATCTAACTCTCACCAACAAAAGTGGGCAACAACTATGAAATAAGCTTATTTCCCAAAATGTCAAACTACCCCTGTGAGTATTCATTTTCACAATCCTCCTGTAATTCTACATATTCACAAGCAAAAGGTTTGAACCGTAACAGTAAGCACAATCTTACTGTTCTCATACCATGTATGTTACTTTCTTTTCAAGGGCCCAAACACCATAATGATCTGCATGGTAATCCTGCTCAACATTGGCCTGGCCATTCTCTTCGTACACATTTTGTCATGAGACATTTTTCCACCACCTCAGGTAATATGTGATGCTAAAAAAGTGATGTGGTGAAACCACACAAGTGCTTCATGCAAGATGTAATGATCTGCTTGTTGCTAGTGTGTGAAAGGACTCTGTCGGTTTGCTGCAGGTCACCAGCAGTATTGGAGAGAGCTGGCCTTGCTCTTCCTCGGTAAGGACCAGAGATCAAAGAGACTGCTGAGGGGAAAAAGACGCCTCATGCAGACAGCTGCAGCTCATCTAAAGGTTTTGGTTGGTGTGACCGGGTGAGGCTCTGTGAAGCTCCTCTCTTTCCGGAGGTCAGGGTAACTGAAGGACACTGAATAACTGCAACGATTCAGTACAGGCGAATACGATGACACCCGTATGTTATGGTGGGGAGTTGGGGGGCTAGATGGTAGAGTACGTCTCAGTGCTAACACTGGTAAAGCAGTGAGGTTCTAAATAATTCACCTTCATCACAGTGTGTCATGTGTGTCAAAATTTTGCTAAATAAATAAAAAAGGCTTTTAACTAAAACATTAATTGGCTTTCACAACACCAAGTACCGATACAGCAGATTAGACAAACCCAAGGCTGACAAGATAATTATAACTGTTTTGTAAAAGATATTAGGGAAATGTTTGTATTAAGTAATTGTCAGCTGAAGGAATGTTGATAACATATACAGACTGAATATCCTCTCCATGCCTTGAACCTGATTGTTTAGAAATAAAGACTGCAGCAGACTTGAGGTTTGGTAGTGAGAAGTTTTGCTATTGTTTTGAATGTCTAATGTATGGTTAAAAACTGAAAATGATTTAAATGTCTATTAAGAAAATACTGTTGGAATAATGCAAAATGCAATCCAGCGCTACTGTAAAGCCATTTTGTTTTGCTGCTTTTCATTCTCAAAGTCTCCAAAGCATCATGATTTGCATTTCAAGTGATTGCATCCTGCAAAACCTGAATTTGGGATTGTGGTGTACTATACTGTGAAACTTTGTTTTCACTAGGATTTTCATGCATTTATTGTCACTGTGCTGCTTTCATTTGGGAGTTGATAAACCAACTAGAGAAGGAAAATGGAAAGCTTATGTGTCACTGTAGTGTATGCACTGTATGTTCCTGTGGAGTTTGTTACATAATGCTGGTGGGGTTATTTCATGTTTTGCAACAGGATAAGCAAGCAGAAAATTAAGGTTGGGAGTTATATCACTAAGTTTTATTAATCTGCAAATTTATATTGAATACAAAAGCAGCAGCACGAGATGGGTTAGGATGATGCATCTGTCTGAGGACAGTTGCAGCATTCATGGTTTCATGTATGTTTGAGTGTAGAAAACTACCCATATTGTTCCAGTGCATTATATTCAAGGCCTGTTGCACTTGGGTTCAAATTTCATGTGCATGACAGCACTTTGTGTACATCTGTACTTTTGTACCATTCTGAACATCTTTAATATTCAAAATATTGTCAGAAACATACAACCCTATCATTTCCCAAAGGAGACAGAGTCCCTTGTGATTGTGAAATGGAGACAGACCGATTCTTAACTCTTTGTCTTACACTGAGAAGAGCACTATGTGCTATTCACCGTTTGTTGTTCTACCAGTGAGGTTTTAAAAAGGTGTAATTGGAATAGTTTTGCCTTTTAGTTTGTAAATTAAGATAAATCACTGTTTGGACATTGTTTTCATGCAAAAATAGAAACTTCTCTAACAGCAGGTTTAAATATCTCATAATCTGATGTTAAGACAATATTGTCCACTGGTAGAGTCTGTGGTCTACCAATACAAACTGGTAGATTAACTCAAAACATGCAATAAAACAAGTACTCACACAGGTCAGTGTAATTGTTGATAGTGAATGTTGGTGCATTTAATGCAAACAAATGCCAGTATATCAGAGATGCATTTATGCAGTCTAACTTGGCCAAAATATTACACTTGTTGGCAAATCAGTTCAGATAAAAGGGTTCTCGCCGACATGATGCTGCTTTTACAAGTTAGTGTATTCCTACATTTTCTTGTAGTACACAGAAGATATCCAATTTAGTAACAGCAGAACTAAGTATTTTTAAACACCACCTGTCTGCCAGCATCAGACACCCCCTATCCCTCCCTTGGGCCACAGTGAATACCACACCCTATTTCAAACCGGGCTGGGGTCAGGCCTTGGTTCTTGACAGTTTTCACAGAATGCACCAGTCACACCTTAACTAATGAAAGGTGAGCTCTGCAAATGTACTACATATGTCTGTTGTACAAGTCATTTAGTTTCAAACAGGCAAATCTGCTACATTTGATTACCAAGATGCTTGTTTATAGCATGTTGAGTTTAAGTGTACTGAACACTGCTGCCCCCAAGTGGCAAGTAGAGCAACAAGTTCCAACTCCTAGACAAACCCAGCTACCAACCAAATATGGTTATTGACAAAGTACTGGTAACTCTGTCTAAAACATGCTTTTCAGATTAGTGACAGAACTTGTACTAATGGCTTTAAGTAGAGTGGTGCATGGCGAATAAGTGCAGTCAAAGAAACACTTTATTTTTACATTAATAAAGGCACAGATCAATAGAAGGGCACACCATTTAGTACTCTTCTCCTTCATCTCCCACACTGTCAGTTCCAACTTCTTCATAATCCTTCTCTAGCGCAGCCATGTCTTCCCTGGCCTCGGTGAACTCGCCCTCCTCCATACCCTCACCCACATACCAGTGAACAAAGGCACGCTTGGCGTACATGAGATCAAACTTGTGGTCAAGCCGAGCCCAGGCCTCTGCAATAGCAGTGGTGTTGCTCAGCATGCACACAGCCCTCTGGACCTTGGCCAGGTCCCCACCTGGAACTACAGTGGGTGGCTGGTAGTTGATGCCAACCTTGAAACCAGTGGGGCACCAGTCCACAAACTGGATTGTGCGCTTGGTCTTGATGGTGGCGATGGCAGCATTCACATCTTTAGGCACCACATCACCACGATACAACAGGCAGCAAGCCATGTACTTGCCATGACGGGGGTCACATTTCACCATCTGATTGGCTGGCTCAAAGCAGGCGTTGGTGATCTCAGCCACTGAGAGCTGCTCATGGTAAGCCTTCTCAGCAGAGATGACAGGGGCGTAGGTGGCCAAAGGGAAGTGGTCAATAGCGTGTTTCCTACGGCAAATATCGTAGATGGCCTCGTTATCCACCATGAATGCACAGTCAGAGTGCTCTAGGGTGGTGTGGGTGGTCAGGATGGAGTTGTAGGGCTCCACCACAGCGGTGGACACCTGGGGAGCTGGGTAGATGGAGAACTCCAGCTTGGACTTCTTGCCGTAGTCGACAGACAGACGCTCCATCAGCAGGGAGGTGAAACCAGAGCCGGTGCCACCTCCACAGCTGTGGAAAACCAGGAAGCCCTGAAGGCCAGTGCACTGGTCGGCCTGAGGACAGAGAGGGCGACACTTGTTAAATGCATAATGTTGGATTATGATTTAGTCTTTAAACCAAAACAGTTGCATATTTAATACAACTTGTAAAATGATTTGCCACATTTGCCCCCCCCCGCTTCAGTGCTTCTGCAGCATTAGGACTGGTGATGACTTAGACCCATCTTTCTTTGGCATCAACTAATACCATTATATGCACATCTATTCTGTGATATGGCCAAATTGGCAGGTACTGTGGTCCATCACTGCTATCAAAAGTAGGCACTTTGATACCACGATGACTACTTTGAGACATTTTCCCCATAGGCAGACACGCAGTACACTTAAACCATCAGGGCAGTATCCACACTCAGATACAACCTCTCCAGTCTTGCATTAACTCACGTTTTATCACGGTGATGTTCAGGATAGATTTAAACTGATCATTTGAGGATGTAGTTCATGCTGCACTTCAAACAGTGTTAAATTAATGCACATTATTTTTAAACAAGCACCTCTGTAGTTTAGTCCCAACAGCAACACAAACTACCTCAAATGATCAGTTGAATCAACCCACCTAAAGACAAAACTGCCTTCATGATTGCATTAATTCTTCAGTGCCCTCTTGTGGCACAAAGTAAACTGCATGAGCTTGAAATGGCACAGTCACTTTCCTGCCACTTCAGTGTCACCTTAGTGTCTGATAATTTGTCCCAGGCTTCCAGCTGTATTAGGAACATCTTTGAATTTACCCACCAGTTTGCGAATTCTGTTCAGCACCAGTTCAATGATCTCCTTGCCGATGGTGTAGTGTCCACGGGCGTAGTTGTTGGCAGCATCCTCCTTACCAGTGATCAGCTGCTCAGGGTGGAACAGCTGGCGGTAGGTCCCAGTGCGCACCTCATCTGAAGAGACATTTGATTGAAAGTGATTTCAGTGTCTGCTTAAAATAAAGCAACCACTGTATCTGTTTAAATTTACCAATAACAGCAGGCTCCAGGTCCACAAATACAACTCTGGGGACATGCTTTCCAGCTCCAGTCTCACTGAAGAAGGTGTTGAAGGAATTGTCCCCTCCTCCAAGAGTCTTGTCACCTGGCATCTTTCCATCTGGCTGGATCCCATGTTCTAGGCAGTAAAGCTCCCAGCAGGCATTTCCAATCTGGACACCAGCCTGTCCAACGTGGATGGAGATACACTCACGCTGTGGAAAGGGTGAAAAACGTTAATTTTGTAGATTTAGCTTTAATTTCAATCTGCTTTTACATGAAATCTATGAAAACAATGGGAACATGCATCTTTGAAATAGATTTCCTTCCCCCATCTGTGTTTAACCGGCAGTGCAGCAGGAGGCACCTCCCTGCACCACAACCCACAGGGGACAGCCTGAACAAGAACCTTAATGTTCAGAATATCATGTCATTAAGTTTTCATTTGGGGTGTTTCCACCTACAAAAAGTTTGGTTATACTCCACAGCTTTTCCAAATGACAGATAGGTTCATTAGAACAAGAACACAAAAACATCCATACCCATTGTAAGAAAAAAACAAAAACAAACTTCTTGCCTGACAATCATGAGGTTTATAGTGTTTCTTCAGTATCACAATAAGAGTTGGCTGTTCAGCCAAAATATAAACAAATAGGCTAAAAACAAGACAAGTTGTAGCCCACAGCTTAATGCATTGATCCATTGCACCATTATAGGTGGCACTTGTGTTTTTGGAACAGTGTAGGCTACCTACATCTGTTCATACAATTGAAAATATTTAATGCAACTACAAAAAAAATAGAAAAAATATTGATCTCATATTGAAAATCCCTAGGATGGTCAAAACCTCACCTACATAAAAAACAAACAAAAAAACAAAAAAAAAAGTACTTTAACAGCAGCTTTTTGGAAGGCATCTAGGTTCTGATGGGACTACTTTTTGTCAGTCAGGGTGCAGACAGGTGAAGCTACTGACCACCAATTACAAGTACACCAAGTTACCAAGCCAAGTAGCCTAAACCCAACATTTAAAACTATAATTAAAAGCTAACATTTTTAAAATATTTACCTATTAAAGAAAAACTAATGTTCTTTATAATTAAATTGTAATTAATCATCATGCAATGTGACTTTTAAATCTAGCCAGAGCAAAGAGAAAAATTCCCACTAGTAGAGTCTCACCATGCTTGTTGAAGCTGTTTCAAAAGGAACTGACACACGGAGCAGAATACGCTCACTCTTACAGCCGACCTCTAAGGAGCCCTGTGTAAGAAACGACTGCCGAGATTTAGTGGGCGGAGCTTTTATAAACGCTCTACGCGGTGGAAAGAGAAGAAGAATCTGATTGGTTGAGAGACACACAAACTTCACTGTTATTGGTTAAATGGCAACAATCGCCTTCCTCAATCAAGCCTTGGCGCAGGTGTTACTAATAGAGAAGCTGTGGTGGAAAATATTTAAGTACATTGATTAAAGTAGCTTACTGTACGATTTTGAAATAAATTTACTTTACTGGGGTGTTTTGACTACATTTCAGAGGCAATTATTGTAGCCTACTCTAACTTTAGCCTATTTAATTTGTGGATTAAGATTAATAATACAAAATATAATCAACAAGATTGTTGATTATGTTTTGTAACAAGGTCATGTTGATTGAGATAAAAGTCTGTTATTTCCATTATTACCTACAGTAAATTATTTAAAAATTATGCAAAGCACTTGTTGCAAACTATGAAAGGGAACGGGTTTCAGCTATATCTTTATTGGAGAACCGAGTTTTGCCAAAGGGCTACTATTTGCCTACAACTAAATTAATTTAGAGTTATTTTTAAAAGAGACCAGAGCTTGGAGCAAAATCAAAAGGGCTGAAGTACAGTAGACTTTTTAAAAATGGTAACTTTATAAGCATGTATAAAGGCCATAACCAATGTTGGTGTGAGGTTAGTGTGAACGAAGCTCATTTAGAAGAGTTATATGAGAGGATGAGGTGACAGTTCTATATCATATGACAGCAATATTTTCATTTGCAGGCATATGGATATGGGCAAACAATTTATAACCATAATATGCTACAGATGTCAGAGAAATGTATTATGGCCTACCTGCTTCCACCCCCCTCACTTAGATTTTCAAAACAATAACTCTGGAAAAAGAAATATTTAAAATTATGATTGTGCATTGTATGCAATAAACCTAAGGAGTGTTTGTATTTGAAGTCACACGCTGCCTCTTGAGAATCATCGAAGTGCACAGTGTAAAAACGCTGCCTCTGTCTACTGCAGTGTCAATCAATCAAATTTTATTTGTATAGTGCCAAATCACAACAAAAGTAATCTCAGGACACTTTACAAAGTAAGGTCTAGACCTTATTGTTATCACTATTAGTACAAAGGGGAAACCCAACAAATCCCCCTTGAGCAAGCACTTGGCAACAGTGGGGAGGAAAAACTCCCTTTAACTGAAGAAACCTCCGACAGACCCCGGCTCTTGGTGGGCGGCCTTCTGCCTCGACCGGTTGGGGTGAGTGGATAGAGGAGAGACAAAAGAAGAAAAGCAACAAGACACAACAA